CAGGAAAAAAAAGAAAGTTAACATTAGAGCGGGACAGGGGCAGCCCAAGCTCTGCAGATGTCTTGGTTGGCGGGTGAGGCCCGCAGGCTCCTGACCAGCTGCCTGCAGACACTGGTGAGGTGACCTGAGCTCCTCCGACATTTTGACTGGCAGCTGAGGCCCATGTGTGTGTCCCATCAGCTGCTGTGGACACCGCAGCAGTACAGGGGCAGCCTGAGCTCTGTGGACCTCTCGGTTGACGGATGAGGCCCATCCTCCCTCAACCAGCTGCCCGCAGACACCAGAGTGGTGGCCCCTGTCCAGCCACCCCTGGGTTCATGGCTGAGGCCTGCACACTTTTCATCAACGGCCTGGAGACCCTGGTAATGAAGGCCATTGTTCCCCTACCATGGCAGTTGTGGTCTGAGCCGCATGCCCCACCAACCGCCTGGGGATCCCGGACCCAGTGGTCCACTGCCCTCTACCATCTTGGTCTAAGTCTGACACCCAGGAGAACTAGGGTCCCTAGAGACCTTCGCTGAGCTGCCTAGGAAGGTGAGGCTCAGCGCTTTCCCTCTGACATCCAAAATGACAAGACGTAAGAGCAAAATGCAACCTCAGAACTCAGTCCCACCCGGAGCAAGGCCAGGAGACATCAGCATAGGAAAACTTGGAAGTCACACACCTGATATCTCTGAAATGATCGCAGCTGAAGGAAAGAACAACTCTATCAGGCCACAGAAGAAAGTGTATCAGAAATAATCTTCCAGGGAAAAAAAGAAATGATGTCAATAATGAAAGACCTGAGAGCAGGGGACCCACGATCCTGCCGCCATTACAGTCTGAGTCTCCGCCCTCCGTGCACCCGGTACAGACAAGACATCCTGACCCAGAAGGCCCATGAGCTGCTAACACCGGGGTTCATGTTCGGGCCCTCCCTGCACATGCCCTGCGCCGCCTGAGGTACTAGAGTAGGCGGTCAACAAACTGCCGGCATCGTGGTTCACATCTGGGCTTTACTTGTGCCCTGACATCCTGAAGATCAAAGACACAGGTGGTCTGGATCACCACCAGCGCAGCCCATGTCTGGCTTCTGTGCGCACGCTGAGCCGCCTGGAGACACAGAATCAGGTGGTCCACAAACTGCTGACCCTGCGATTCGTGTGCGGGTTCTACCTGCACCCAGAACTGCCTGGGGACACAGCACCACTGGTCCATGATTGGACCACCAGTGCCGCCTGCTCCTGGGTCACGCTCGTGCCCTGAGCTGTGAGGGGACACTGGGTCAGTCAGTCTGCCATCAGCTGATGTCACAGCTCCCGTCTGAGACCTGGCAGAGCTAGGTACACGTCACCATCTGCCGGAAGACCCCAGATAAGCAGCGCATGTCAGCGGACACTGAGGGGCAAGCCTGACCACCAGGAAAGCTAGGGACACTAGCGACATTTGCTGAGCAGCCCGGGAAGAGGGAGACTGAGCGTTCTGCCACCGGCATCAAACACGAGAAGACGAAGGACTAAGATGCAATCTCAGAGCTCCACGTAATTTTTGGATCATGAGTCAGTGGGCTGTGTCATTACTGAGTGTCTAATTCTGTCATCTACCAAACAGTCCATGAACTGGCCCCTGCTCTTTGTTGTGACCATGGACTTCCGGGTGTCTGAGGGGATGGAGCCTGGCCTAGTCCTGGTAAGCTTTGCTTCCTGTCAGGCCAATGAGACCAGCACCTGGTTTTTCTTCTTTTCCTTAGGGGTGACAGCCTTCTGCAGGCAGCCTCCTAGTTTTGGAATTTTTATCATCTCTGATATCATTCAGGCATTTATTTTTCCAGTATCTGTGGAGGATGACCTGGATGACTCTCCTTGAAAGAAGAGCAATTATCTCCATTTTAGCTAAACTTGGCCCCATTTCCATGTTGATATGCACAGAGCTGGCTAGGAGGTTCTCTTATCCCTTCAATTGGTTTTAAGCAATGCAGACCAATCCAGCTGAGGTGCTGATATGTAGTCCTTGAAGCAAAGATGACAGGGCAGTGTTGACCCAACCCCCATAGCTCCCAAATAAAACGTGTGAGCCAAGGCGAGGTGGGACGGAGAGCCATGCTGCATGCCTTCAGCTTTGATTAAGCCTCAAAATAAGAGGCTGTCTTCCCAGGGTATGGAAGATTGCACATCAGAACTGAACCACCGACCCCTAAAACATCACATACTACCTCAGCTGTGTTTGCAGATTATTCATTCTGCATGTCTTTCTCTCTGCATATTGCACAAGTGATTTCAGACCGCCTACTTAGCTGAGCTCATGGCAATCACGAACTTCCTGCCATTCGCACAATCTCTCATCCTTAAACCACTCTCTTCTTCAAGAATTAATAAAATCTGGGTTCATTCTGGGTCAAGTGTTTTGTTCCAGTTAGCCATCATCATGGCCAGACTCAGGACCCCTTGACTCCCCACCATTCTGGACAAATTATTGTGTCTTTATTTATGCCTGGGTTGCACTGGGAGGGGTAGATTGGAATTAACTCAATAGGATTCCAATAACTTTTCCATGGGGTTACAAATATAAACTTCCCAGACCAAGATGAGGACCGGGAAGTCTCTCCATAAGGATCCATGCTTTTTCATTGCACACACTGATCCTCTTCCAGATAACAGGCTAAAGGAAGACTAAAGGAACTCCGCTTTGCACTGAGAAGCTCAGAAGACAGACTTCTATTTGTAAAGCTGGTGGGCCAAGGAAAACTGAGTTTTCAAATCACTGGCCCAGAGTCAGTTTTGAGTTCAGTTTAAATATGATTTGCAAGGGAGAGGTACAAAACTGATAAGAGGTTACTCCATGATTGAGTACATGGAATACAAGAATTATGTCACATATTATAAGGCAGAATTATCATTCTGGGAAGGGGGAGAGGGTAACGTGTGGGGTGGGCAGAGTTAAGTGTTACTTGATTGGGCCAGTCTTTCCCCAAACATGACAGCCTTGGGACAGGCTGGAGTCAAGGCATATTTTCTTAATTAAAGGAAACTCAATCAGCTTGACCTGTCACATTGATGGAAAACAGCTGAGACCAAATAGTCAAGGCTTAGAGCTGAATTTAGAACACTAGCTACACGGCAGGCTGTAGGAGCCTGTGGTAACAGGCTCTGATTGATTTCTAACTTTTGCTGTAAAGTGCCTACAAGTCTACTACTCTATAAGTGCCCTTATAATCACAATCTAGCTTGGGTTGACTGGCAACCTAGTTGTGTTTAGCTCCTGTGTGGTCAGTTTCCTCAGGGGCCCTTTCCTCGGGGGCACCCTGTCACACGGGCCACTGTCAGTCACTTGCAGATCTGCACCCCATTCTTAGCCAGGGATCCGAGCAGCTAAGCAGCCTCGATTCCTTCATCTGGCCCTGTCCCGACAGCAGCTCCCCCTCAGGAGATGGGTGCAGAGTCTAAGTGAGGTCGGGCATTCAAAGTGCTCACACCGCAGCAGGCAGCACTGACATTTGATGGCCACTGTCTTGGTCACCAAAAGTGCCACCCTGAACACCGTGTGTTCATGGCAGTCACAAGTAGGGTTTGTTGAGAAGGAATGAGGAACACACTCAGGAGGGGCGGGCAGTGCATGTCCTGGAAGGATGTGCAGGGGACAGGAGATCGCACAGGCACAGAACTTCTCAGTGGTTTGGCGATCTACAAGAAAGCCTGCTTTGGCACTGCCTGAGCTACCTACCGTTCTGCTCCAGGTTGGAACATGCCCTGCACCTGCAACTGCCTGAGCCATAGCTCTCTCGGTGTCAGTGCCACTCAGTAATCAGGACCATGCCTTTGTCTTTAGCTTTTCCAGGGTAAAGTGCTAGTGAAGTCACTGACCGCTCTGCTCTTTTCTGGTCACAACTGGAAGCCCTAGGGCTAGTGACTGCTGTGGCACTCACAGGACACGGTAAGACCTGCTGAGGACGATAAGGCACCTGGGGAAACTACAGTTTCCTTGTTGCCCCGTCTTGTCATTGTCCTTGCGAGAACGCCTTGTTCCTACTAGCCCCTGGTGGTCATTACTGTCCCCAGAAACAAACATTGCCCTTCACCCAGTGTTCTTGGCACAAGTGTAATGAGTAAATACCAAGGTTCTGGCTGTCTCATGGCCTTTTGCTCCCTGAGAGCAATACTCATCCCAGGTCCTGCTGCACCCCTGTTTTGCCTCTTGCTCTTTTATCTCATCTTGTGCCGTAACAACTGGCAAGAGATTAGGGACTCACTGCAGGAGTCCCCCGTAACTGGAACCATAGAAAGGGTCTCCGATAAAGAAATATGACAAGAAATAGTATTGCACATGCATAGACTTCATATGTATACAGAATATGTTCAGAAGAAGATAATACATAGACACAAATCTCACATTAATAAAGGATAGTCAAACAATAGAAGTGGCAATATATATCACTTTATGGATAGAAAAATCTCACTAAAAATTTTCTCCAAATTTAATGTGTAAACACAATACCTTGCCTTTGTAAATTCAGAGTACTTTTTACAGCATATGATCAGCCAATTCTAGAATTCTAAAGACCATATGTCAAAGAAATACAGCAAAAGTCACCTTGGGAATGTTGCAAAAATAAATGTGACAAAGAATACACAACTAGCTGTCACAATGTACTGTTATAAGCATATAAAAAGAATGGTACTTTTGAAGAGAAACAAAATTTAGGGAAATACATTAGGGGATTTTGAATTATGATGTATAGATAAAATTGTATTTAAATTGGTAAAAATAATGAGAAATTCAAGTGGAAAATGAAACAAAGTGAATAACAACAAAATTGGATATATAATAATGTCCATTAAAGATTTAACAGAATAAAAAAATCCAGAAGAAAATTCAAATTGAAAAGGTAGTAGTGACTAGAAGACTATTAGAGAAAGAATAGTCATTGTTATTAATATAAATCTCATACTCCAATATCTGACAAGAAAAAGGATGCAGAACTACCTCAGACCCTCTATGTATTTTAGAGAAAGTATTTTTTTAACTTAATATGTCTTCTTTCTCCTAGAATGTGTTTTGTCTCTGAATCCATGCAGAGAATTCCTCTCTGGTCTTATCAAAATAACGTAGCACTTGGGGGCAAAGATGCAGCCCAGCAGCCCCGCACCGGAGGCCAAGATGGAGAAGACCTCCATGGCCACCATGACCTTCCCCTTGGTGCTGTGGTACACGGGGAGGAAGGTGACCCACACGCTGCAGAACACCAGCATGCTGAACGTCAGGAACTTGGCTTCATTGAACGTGTCGGGCAGGTTCCTGGCCAGGAAAGCCACGGTGAAGCTCGCCAGGGCCAGGGAGCCCAGGTATCCCAGCACACAGTAGAAGGCAGTGAGGGAGCCCTTGTTGCACACGATGATGATGTGGCCATGTTCAGAGTGAGCGTCTGTGTCAATGTAGGGTGGATTTGTCCCCATCCAGACTCCACAGAGAGTGAGTTGGATGAGGGAGCAGATGGGGATGATATAGTTTGGTGCCCCTGATACCAGCAACTGCCTCATCCTTCTGCCTGGAGCAGTGACCTTAAAGGCCAGCACCACAGTAATGGTTTTGGCCAAGACGGTGGAAACAGCCACAGTGAACACGACTGCAAATGAGGTCTGCTGCAGGATGCAGGTGGCTGTGCTGGGCCAGCCAATGAAGAGCAAGGAGCAGAGGAAGCAGCAGGTGAGGGAGATGAGCAGGGTGTAACTGAGAGCCCGGTTGTTGGCCTTGACGATGGGAGTGTCTCGGTGCTTCACAAAGAGGCCAAGGACAGCAGCTGTGAGGACAGTGAGACTAAGGGCGGTGCCAGCCAGGATCTTCCCCACGGGGTCTTCATAAGCCAGAAAAGTCACAGACTTTTGCAGGCAGTGGTTTTGTTCAATGTTGGCATACTGATGATCTGGACACCTCACGCACTGCTCCATATCTAGTGAGAAAAGAATATTGTCATCAACCTAGGTTTAATACTTCTCTGTTATTCACCCTACTACCCAAAGAAGCTCATTGGATTTGTTGAGCCAAATTTTTCTTCTCTGTTTTATAAGACACAAGTAGGAACTTTTATATAGGGAGTAATTCCCAATTAATCCTGCCCATCTTTGTTACGGTGTAGTGAATGACAACATTTATTCTCCTCCTTATCTGCCATATTCATAAGAGCATCTTTCTATATACACAAGTGTTATGGTTGATACTTTGTGTCAACTTGAGTCTAGAGGCTTGGCTAAGAGACTCAGCAGTTCTACATGCTGGGGTGAGAAGGACACGCCCTTCCCGCTCTGGGACGTTGTTCACCCTGTCAGTTTAAGAAGTATGGAAGGTTAGCTATGTGACTGAGCAGGGCGTCAGGGTCTTCACTTTATATACATGTGAGCCTGTGCAGGAGGAGGGCACAGACATGGCGTGGGCGTGGGCGGGTCGCCGATGTACAGTATAAGGGGGAAGGAAGCTTGCTCCCTCGCCATTTTTGCTCTCGCTGCTTTTGCTGTCTTGTGCCGCCTTGAAGTGTTGCTCCTGTACCATGCCACTCTGCCTCGGAGCCAGCTGGTTATAGACTGAAACCGCCACGAACTGTGAGCTAAATAAACCTTTCCTTCCTGAATTTTGGGCATTAGGTATTTTGTCTCAGCGATGAGAGAAAAGTAACCAAGACAAGAAGGCACTTTTAAAAGATCTTGCTAACTAAACTGAGCCTTTATAAAACATGCCCTAGGTATGTAATTATCAACGTGTGATCAATTTTGATAAACCCATATCGCTGATTAAGTTCCAGGGAAATAAATAAGATCAATAGTACTTTATGTCTGGTAAAATAAGATCTCTTGCTCTATAGCAGATTGTCACTTTTATCACAAGGCATATTATATGTGGACTTAAATAAGATTGTACCAGTAGACCAACTTGGAATGCTCTAATATCTTTCCATGATTGAGCTTTTCCATAAATGAACATGCTTTATCTTTTATGATCTTTTTTTTCTGGTACCAGGAATTGAACTCACGACCTTGCACTTGCCAGGCAGGTACTTACACCACTGAGCTATATCCCTGGCCCCAAACATGCTTTATCTAAATATCCTGTTGTTTCTCTGGTATGAGAAACTGCATGTGTAAATAAGTACCAAAATGTATAAGATATATTGTGAAATAGGATAAAAATGTTCAAATGGGAAGGAGAACTGGGGGAGTAGAGAAAGGAAGGAAGGGAAAAGAAAACAAAAAGAGAAATGGAGGCAAAGCTTCTGTAAATAAGGAGGGGAAGAGGCATTGAAGGGAGGGTAGGAGAATGGGAAAAAAAGAAGAATCAAGATCTATGATGTACAGGTACAAATTTCCTATGATGAATGTGATCATCGTGTATATCTAAAATATAGCAATAAGCTTAATTAATTAAAAAAGATAACTACCCAAAAAATAAAATTATGATCATATTACTTCCATCTTATATTTTCTGTGTTTAATATGTTCTTCTTTTTGTAGTTTTTGATGAGCACTTTAAACACTTTAGTTTTTTCATTTAAAAGTATCTAATAATATATATGCATATATAAGACACACAGTTGTCTTTAAAGTTAATTTTAACTTCATCCCACAAGTTTTGATAGGTAATATTCTCAATTATACTTTCTACTGCTTTGATATCATCTATAAATTAGAGATTACTGAGAAGAACATGTCTTAAACCAGAAGCAGGTAGAGATTAATATTCAGGGTCTATAGCTCTCTGTATGTGCACATGTAACACACACATGAAAGTACCTTATCACCAATCTGTATGAATATATATAGTATATTATATAGTCAATCTTAATATACTTCAAAACAAAGTGATAATTGTGCTAATTCTGTTGTGAAGTAAAAACACATATGTGCCTCAAAAATATAGTAGAAAATTTTCCATAGAAAGGTGATTGTACTATATCATGATCCATTATTATGAATTTAAGTACTTCCAAGTTGTAACTATGGTATTTAAAAATCTTCAATATTGATTTTCTATACCTGTTTTACATCATGTCCCAAACCTCATTCCCATTTGCTTTGTGTTGTTTAATAGTATTGAACCTTAGTTTAGGGCTGTAAAATATTACACAAAGTGGAAAATTCCATTTTTCCACTGTGTTAAAAACAATGCGAATTTCTTTCACACCATTCTTCTGACAGTACTGATGCTATTCCCTTTGTAAAATATCTATGGCATCCTCCCCCAAATATAGGGATTGTCATTTGCTAAACTTGATAGTGCATGTCCACATCCTTACTGCAGCTCTGTGGCATTAATCTTAATTCCTGTCATCATCTGTTGTCTCCCCGACTCTCCTGTGAATTCCAGGAAAGCAGAAGTAAAACTGTGGCAATGAGCACACTATTCAAAAAAGTCCAAATATTACACCAAAGATAAACTACCTGCACACAAGTTCTGTGGCAGGGGCAGTGCTGAGCACAAGCAATGTAAGGAGATGCTGGGTCATTTTCTTCTCTGTGATATAAATGGATTTTTAAAGGTAAAGTGTCTGTGCTTAATAGCTCTGCTAAATTTCATACTAGAGTTGGAATCCAGAAATTGTAGGCTGGAATATAGAGGTTTACTTAGGAACATAATTCTTTCAGTGGATCTAGAAAAACGAACCAAAGAAGCCAAATGTGGCACCACATGCTTCTAATCTTCGCTACCCAGGAGAATGAGGCAAGAGTCATGAGTTTGAGGACAGAATAGAAAACTTAACGCGCCGCTATCTCAAAGGAACAAAATGAAAAGGGCTGGAGAGGCAGCTCAGTGACAGAGCATCCCTAGGGTCACTCTTGTGAAACTTAAACTGAAGAAAAAATTAAAACTCAAAGTGTAATTCAGCAGACAGCGTGTTTTTGCAAAGAGCAATGGTACTGAGTACAGCAACTAAATGGATTGCTGTGTAGATAAGACTTTCCTTTGTCACTTCATGGATGGAGGGGCACAGAAGATAGATGGAGGGTCTGCCCATAGAGCACACTCTTACCTGTGTCATTGGTGATCTCATTCTCTGAGCAAGCAGTGCAATCAAAACAGCAGGAAGCCTTTCCCTCCTGAGGGGATTTCCTGAATCCGGGAGGACAACTCTCAGCGCACACAGAGTGGGGAGTCTGGGGAAAACCAGGTGTGTGCTGGTTACTTCTCAGACATTTACTTAATCTTTTATAACTAGAATGATAGACAACTTGTATAACCACATAACTCTAATGATCTCATGAAACACTATATTTAATGATAAATACATGAATATTTACAAAAGCATAGTTCAGTGAATGTTTTTCTTTCCCATTTATAAGAAAAGTGGATAAGCAAGAAAGTCTTTACATTAAAAAGTGAATTCAGTGTTCATATGTGACCATTCCCTGACTGAGGGTGAAGGCACTAATCTCACAGCCAGACTTTAGGATCCATATTTCCTGAAATGCATCATGATCAACTCCCACATACCTCTGTACTTCCTATAGCCCACTGTATCATCTCCTCAGATAAAGACAGTTGTTGCCCGTGTGCAACACAAGGGGAGAACTCCCCTACTTTCACCTTAAGTCTAAGACCTTCTGGAAAATTCCAAAAGTTGAGAATGTCAAACTTTGTGTCCAGGTTTACTTTCTTTTCCAAATTCACTTGGTCTCCAGCACTGTTGTTAAACTGGATGTTCCTCAGAAAGGAGTGCAGCTGAAAGAGATACATCATTCTCCAATGAAATAGTCTTAGAAATTAGAAAACCTGAATGTGGTATAGTTCATATATGTCTTTAATCCTTCTTTCATAATGGAACTTTGACACAGGAATCCAGTGAAGTAGAATAAGCAAAAGCCTATGTAGGAATAAAGTATCATAATGTTCCTAAAATATCAGTCAGCTTCAAGAAAAAAATTCCATCCAAGTCAAAGTAAATAGACAGCAAATGTGAATGTTACACAACACTAGCCTTTGAAGTCAAAGTGTCATGTGGCTATTTTCTTTCCAACTGTTCCCAGAGCATTCCTGCAAGAGTAGGCCATGAATACCAAAAGGAATTAGAGAATTCAATGAGAAATTTCATCTAATGTATCCACTCCAGTGCTTAGCATGACTTAGAAAAATAAAGAAATTAGTTTTTCCTGTTTTCTTTAAAAACTTCATGGTAAATTTAACATTTTTGTTCTTGTAAACACATGGGCAGAGCATTGACATCCTTTAAAACTAAAAGTCATAAGCACCAAAGCAGCATTACAGAAAGTACTCCAGGAAATCCTAGATAGAGACAGTGATATCCACATCACCAATGAGTGTAAAGGAAAGAATACATTCAACCACAAAGGTAGTTAAACAGATTGGAAAATAAAGAGGAATCAGCGAAGAAAAAACTATGAAGTGATAGGATATAGCAAATACTTTTCAATATTGCCTCTTGAGATAAATGGACCTATTGCTCCAATCAGATGAGAGTGGCAAATTAAATTTTTAAAAAGTTAACTGTGTGTTTCATATGTGAAGCACATCTCATCCATGCAAAATAAAAACTCAAAAAGAGAAAAAAAAAACCAACGAACAAAAATAAACTGAAAGTTAAAGGATAAACTATAAGCCCAAAAGTGCATAGGAGTAGCAGAGGGTGGGGAAGCAAGGTCTGGGGTAAGCAGCCTGAAAAGACACAAAAGTTAAGGGGAGTAATCTTGTGAACCATATCCTCAGGCTTCAGCTCTGCATGGACTGGTCAGTACCCAGAGTGACCAGAACAGGGTCTTGAGTGGTCATCTCTTCAGAGTGAGCTGTCTCCTGCCTTGCCTTTGCTTCCTAGGATTGCTTTGGCTACTCTAAGCCTCTTTTGGTTCCAGATGAATTTTAGGAATGTGTTTTCTAGATCTTAGAAGTATACTAATGATAATTTAATTGGGATTGCATTGAATCTGTACAACAATTTTGGGAGTATGGCCATTTTCACAATGTTGGTTCTTCCTATCCATGAGCAAGGAATAACTTTCCATTTTCTGATATGCTCTTTGATCTCTTTATTCAGAGTACTGTATTTTTCACTGTATAGACCTTTTACTTCTTTGTTAGATTGATTTCTAAGTACTTCATCTTTTTAGATGCTATTATGAATGGTATGATTTTACTATTTTCTCTCTCAGTTTGTTTGTTGTTTGTGTACAGGAATGCTATTGATTTTTGAGCATTGACTTTATATCCAGTACTGGAAAAAAAACGAGAATTTTTGCATCTATGTTTATTAAAGAGATTGGGCTGTAGTTCTCTTTTTTGATTGGGTCTTTCTCTGCTTTTAGTATCAGGATAATACTTGCATCCATGAATGAGTTGGGGAGAATTCCTTCCCTCTCAATTTCATTAAAGAGTTTGAGAAGAACTGGTGATAAATCTTCTCTAAATTTCCTGTAGAATTCAGCTGTGAGTCCATCAGGACTCGGGCTTTTCTTCATTGGCAAGTTTTTTATTACATTCTCAATTTTACCAGCTGATATTGAGTTATTCAGGATTTTTATATCTTCTTCATTTAGCTTTGGTAATTCATAGGTATCTAGAAATCTGTCCATTTGCTCTGTGCTTTCCATCCTTTGAGAGTAAAGATTTTCAAAGTAGGCAGTACTGATCTGAATTTCTTCAGGATCTGTAGTGATTCCACCCCTTTCATTCCTTATTGCATGTATTTCGGTTTTTCTTTCCTTTTTTTTGATAAGATTGGGTAGGGGTTTATCTATTTTATTTATTCTTTCAAAGAACCAACTCTTTGATTCATTAATTATTTCTACTGTTTATTTAGTCTCCATTGCATTAATCTCTGCCCTGAGCTTTATAATTTCCTATCCTCTTTGAGCTTTGAGTTTGACACGATCTTTTTCTAGAATCTTGAGGTGCATCATAAGATTGTTTATTTGTGCTCGTTCTGTTTTCCCGAGGTGGGAATTCACTGCTATAAATTTTCCTCCTAGAATTGCTTTCATTGTGTCCAACAGATTCCTGTAACTTGTATCTACATTTCCATTTGATTGTAAATAGTGTTTAATTTCTTCTTTGATTTCATCTGTGACCCACTGGTTGTTCAGGAGGCTACTATTTAATTTCCAACTGTTTGTAGAGTTTTTTTGACTGCTTACATCTTTAATTTCCAATTTCATTGCACTATGGCCTGATAGTATACATGGGATAATTTCATTCTTTTGCGTTTACTTAAGCATGTCCTTAGAGAACATCCTATGTGCAGATGAGAAGAATGTGTATTCTGATGCTGTTGGATGGAATACTCTGTAAAGTCTGCTAATTCCATTAGGGTAGGGTACCTCAAGGCAAGGTCTTTCACCTTTGCAGTTTTAATGCTGCAAAGGGTGAAGACTTTCTGCTTCTTGTGATGCCTTCCAGCCATCTTTTCTATTCTCTTGTTTCTCCTCGGCAATGGAGATCTCATCAGATTTATCTTTGCAATCCACAGCTTTACTGGAGCTTCCTTTCTTCCCAAGCTCACAACATTTTAAATCATCCTGCTGGGCTCTTTGCTCTTGATTCTCAACATAAATCTTGCTAAAAGCCCTCAACAATAGCCATGTCACTGCCCCAACATTCGGCTGCCTGGAAATTTCTTCTGCCAGATTAATCAGTCCACTGCCCTTAATCTCAGTGTCAGGCAAAGTCTCTGGACACAAGCAAAATGCAGACAAACTTTCTGCCAAACCATAACATACACCATCTGGAGTCCAGCACCCAATGCAGTTCTTCTCAGGAAAAACCTCCTGAACCCAGTCTTTACCAGCAGGATTTCTATCAGACTTTTGGTCTTCTGAGCTCTGACCAGAATTTCCCATACGGAACAGCTGAAAGCATTCCAGCTGTTCTCTTTCTAGCAACATCTCCAAACCTTTCCAAACACTTCCCATAAAGCTATTTCCAAGAGCTCTTGAACCACATGATCAGGTATAGTCACAGCAATGACCCCACTCCTCTGGTACCAAATTTTGTCTTGTTTACTTTTCTCTCATTGCTGAGACAAAATACCCAACACCCAAAATTAAGAAAGGAAGGAAAGGTTTATTTAGCTCACAGTCTGTGGAGGTTTCAGTCCATACTTGGCTGACTCCAAAGCAGAGTGGCATGTGGCAGAGAGCAACTGTTCCTGGCAGTAGAAGATAGTCAAAGCAACAAAAGCAAAAGGGAGGAGCAGCAGCAAACAGCCTTTTTCTCTCCCCTACATTGTAATGCAAACTACCAGCCCCAGAGTAGGTGTAGCACTCACATCTGTAATTCCAACATTGGACCATGAATCAATCATAAACTCTAAAACACCACCCCATGAGTGCATGTGTCTTTGGGGGGGACACCCAGACACAAATCATAACATCGTGAAAATATTTTATTTCTCCATTAAATTTGAAAGAGAGTTTTATAGGGTACATCAATCTGGTTTGGAAGTTGTTTTCTTTCAGTACCTGAAATACTTCACTCCAAGCTCTTCTTGACTTGATGGTTTATGTGGAGAAATCTGCCATGATTCTGATTGGCTTTCCTTTATCAGTGATCTGTTTATTTTCTTTAACATCTTTTAATATTCTGATCTTTTGTTGAGTTTCTGGGATCTTGATCACTCTATGCCTAGGTGTAGATTTATTTTGGTTATTTGGTTAATTGGAGTTCTAAATGCTTCACTTATCTGTATGTCCAATTCTTTATCCATGCCTAGGAAATTTTCTGCTATTATTTCTGCAAATAGTATTTTTATGTCATTTGTGTTGACACCTGTGGTTTCATTGATACCTACTAATCTGACATTGTTTTTCTTTGCTTCATCTTGCAGTTGTTGAATTATTATTTCCTGGTTCCTTGTTGTTTTTAAGAGATCCTTCCTTTCACGTTTGTTAGTGGCAATGCTGAGTTCAAAGTCTGAAAGCCTATCTTCAACTTTGTTCAGGTGGTTCTGACAGCTTTTGTGGAATTTTGTTTGTTTGCTTGCTTTTCTTCCAGTACCAGGAATCAAACTCACGACCTGTGCTTGCCAGGCAGGCACTTTGCCACTGAGCTAAATCCCCAGCCTCTGGAATTTTTAGTTTCCTGGATATCTGCTTGAATCTGTTGCATACATTCTAGTTCTTTTCTACATTGCTCACTCAAGGTTTCCATGAGTTGTCTATGCTCCTCTATTTTCTTATCAATGTCTTCTTTGGATATGCTGAACAATTCTTTCATTATTGCTGTCATTTCCTTTTTTACCTGAGAGATTATTTCTGATCTGATGTCTTCTATGACCTGATGGGGTTTTTCTTTACTTCAGTTGCTATCATTTCAGAAATTTCACATGTATGACTTCCAAATTCTCCTGTGTCAGTGTCCTCTGGACTTGTTCTGGGTGGTGTAGAGGTCTGAGATTGCATTTTGTTCCTTCATTGTGTCATTTTTGAAGATCCAGAGGTTCCCTGGAGCTGAGCCCCACTCCCACAGGGAGTGGCAGGGCGAGGGTCCAAAGGTCCTCAGTGCCCAGTGTGCTCAGTGTGGCTCCTGTGCTGGGCTGTGGGGGCAAGGCGGGGTCCCAGATGCTCACGAAACTTTCGTGCATTCAGTTGGCTCCTAGGCATGTGTGGGATAAGGGGGGCTCACTGGAGTTCCTGAGGCTGTCTGGGGTTCATCCCAGCTTCCACAAGGGGAAGCAGGATACAGGTCATGGGCACCAAGGCTTCAGATGTTGCCCAGGACCCACACCAGCAGGGGAGGGGGGAGGGGGGAGTCTCCAAGGCTGTTGACTCTGGGTTTCAGATGGGCTCCCATGGGGGTGCAGATCATGCTGGGAATAACCACTGAGGCCCCAGAAAGTGTCTGGGGGTCCACCTGTCTCACACACCATTGGGGGAGGTGCGGAGGCAGCTCACCAGAGCTCCTGAAGATGTCGGGTTCAGCCCAGCTTCCATGGGGATCTTGGGTGCAGGGAGTGGCCACTGAGGCCCCAGAAGGTGCCTGGGGCTCCACCTGCCTCCCATGCTGGTTGGGGAGGGGCAGGGATGGCTCACTGGGGTTCTGGAAGATGTCCAGGGTTGAGCCCAGGGCCCACAGGCATGCTAGGGGTGCGGGGAATAACCACCTCACTTGTAACTCCACAAAAGCCTTTTTTTTCTGCAGCCAGGGACTATGGCTTTTGACGAGTTAGTTCCCATCTCTGACTTCCTATGTATGTGCTGTGTGCCTTTGAATGATGGGACAACAAACAAAGGGTGGGTGCCCCTCAGAGAGAGACCATTCAGAGGCCTGCCTGGCAGTGCCCCTCACAGGGACTTAGGCATGACTCAGCTAAGGACGATATGACGATATGTGTCAATCACCACAGAACCAGAGGTGAGGGCCCAATCGACCACCATGGCCAGAGCTTCCCAGTCTTGGTGCACACAGGGAGCAGCCCGTTGATTATGCTGTCTGGTCCCCTCACTCACACAGTCACTCAGGAGGTGCTCAGGGGTTAGACATTCCAACCCCGCTTCCCTTGAGGGTGGCCTTAACTAACAAGGCTTAACCAAGTTCTTCTTCTGCTAGAACTGAGCAAGACTGACAGACTGACTAACTGGGGTGCCCTCTGGGTTCTTACTGGAATCAGGAATGCAAGAAGACAGACAGACACACAGACAGATTGCATCTTCCCTTTGGGGTTTGATGTGAGCTGCTCAAGCAAGGAACATGGAATCCTCCACCAAACCTCTGAGGGGACTCAAGAAACGTTGGGCATGCCTTCCCATTGGGACATGGAGAGGTTCTTGCTCTATCTGCAAGGGCCGTAACTAGTGAACAAAGAGGTCATCATGGTCAGCCTTCCCAGCTGGTGCACCAGATGCAAGAGCAAGCAGAAACACCAAAATGACACCCAGAATTTGGAGGTAGATTTATTTACATCAACAAGCACTGATCAGGATCATTCCAAGAATATCAGGCCCTGATCTCTGGTGGTCTAGGGCCTACATGAGATAAACAAGCAGGAAGTACAGAGGCAGAATGGCTTGTCAGTTGGGGACTGGTTTACACAATGTGCATCATAGTGATCAGCTATGCATCACATGACCAGCCTTTTCTCAGAAGCAGAAGCAACTGCAACAGGAATAGTAACTATTACCTGTGCAGCTAAGAAACTGAACTATGTTGGCTAGCGGGGGGGACAATTTTCTGTTACCACACCAAAGTATTGTTTTAATTTTTTTTTTCTTTTTTGGTTTTTTTTTTTTTTTTTCCGGTACCAGGAATTAAACTCGACGTTGCACTTGCCAGGCAGGCACTGTGCCGCAGAGCTAAATCCCCAGCCAAAGTATTTTTTTGAGATAGGATCTCACTATGTAGTTTGGGCTAGCTTTGAACTCACTATAGCCCAGATGGGCCTCAAACTCATAGCAGTCTTCCTGCCTCATCACCCTGAGTGCTAGGATTACAAGTGTGCACCACCATGCCTGACCTGAACTACAGTATTGAACATATTTATTTAACAGATATCTACAGAATGTGGCATTCAACAACAGAGTCTATATTTTTCTTAGCAGAACCCAGAACTTTCTCCAAAGTAGACCATGTCTCAGACCATAAAGCATGTTAAGAAATAAATACAAAAGAGATGAAAAAGTCCCATGCATACTCTCAGTTGATAATGCAAGGAAACTACAAATCAACAGCAAAAGAAACTAGAAAACTACACAAACACAGGAAAACTAATGCACTCTTGAATAGTGAGTGGGTCACAGAAGAAATTTAAAAGTTTCTAGAATCAAATGACAAAGGTGGCAAAACATAGCATAAACAAAATGTGCACACAAGAGTACTATGCAAACTAAATGCAGGATAAATTGGAGTTGTTTGTAAGAAAATGGATGGAACTAAAGTCTGTAATAATAGGTGAAATAAATTAAACACCAAAGATTAAATATCACTTATCTACTCTAATATGAGAGACACTATATATGAGTAATGAAAAGAGCAAAAACAAAGTGAGATGGTAAGGCAAAGGGAGGTGCTTTTTGGAACAGTGATGGGCCTGCTGAGGTGGGAAGGGGGCCCAAGGAAGGAGAGACAGTGGAGTCCAGGGGAAAAGGGAAGTAAAAATGATCAAGATGTTCAAGATGAAACCCACAAACTGGGAAAAACTTCTAGCTGATTGTCCTTCAGACAAAGGTATTCTATCTAGAATATATAAAGAATTAAAAAACATCACCCCTCCAAATTCAAAGATCCAATCCAAAACTGGGCAGCTGAATCCTCCTGCTGGGTATTTTCCCAGAAGTTCTAAAAACATCATATCACAGTGATGTATGTGCACCTATGTTCATAGCAGCACAATTTGTAATTGCTAAAATGTGGAAGCAACCCAAATGTCCATCCATTGAGGACTGGATAAGAAAATTGTGGTACTTTTATAGAATGGAATATTACTCAGCTGTAAAGAAAGATCAACTGGAGGCTTTTATAGGTAAATGGTCACAACTAGAGACCATACTCATAAGTGAAATAAATCAAACACACATGTGCAAACACCGCATTGTTTCTCTAGTGTAAAGCCTGAAAGAGTTAATTTAAACTAGGAGATATGATAGACATTGTGAATTGATAGGAAAGCACTCAAAGGTAAAGGGTAACTGGGATATGGGAAAAGAGAAGGGAAAGAAGGAGAAAGTTTGTATGTATGTATATGCAAGATAGTTAACATGGCTGTTCTACTGTTTGTATTTCTTTGCTGAAAGAAACTGTCAATGAGGCCTTGGTTGATCAGCTTTGTATGTCTATATCCCTTTTCATGAGAAACCACTTTGAAGATATCAATATGTAATACAACAAGCATTGTTAATTCCCTACCACTCTGTTTGTAACGCCATACTGTCTGTACTGTTCTTTTGCTATTTTGTAAAATGTTGTCTGTCTGTTAATATTTTCCTCCTTTTATTTTTAAAATTAAAAAAAAATGGGCAGCTGAGATGATACACACTTCTCAGATAAGGAAATACAAATGGCAAATAAATACATGAGAAAAATGTTCCACATCACTAGTCACTCAAGAAACGCAAATTAAAACAACACTGAAATTCCACCTTACCCCAGTAAGAATGGCTAGCATTAAGAAATCAACCAATAACAAATGCTGGCAAGGCTGTGGAGAAATAGGAACCCTTCTCCACTGCTGGTGGGAATGCAGACTGGTGAAAACACTGTGGAAATCAGTTTGGAGATTCCTCAGCAAACTAGGTCTAGAGATCCCATTCAACCCAGCTATCCCCCTGCTGGGTATTTTCCCAGAAGATCTAAAAACATCATATCACAACAATATATGTGCACCTATGTTCACAGCAGCACAAATTGTAATTGCTAAGCTGTGGAAGCAACCCAAATGTCCACCAACTGAGGATTGGATGAAAAAATTGTGGTACTTTTATGTAATGGAATATTACTCACCTATAAAGAAAGATCAACTCTACGCTTTTATAGGTAAATGGTCACAACTAGAGACCACACTCATAAGTGAAATAAATCAGACCTGCATGTGTAAGCACCTCTCTGTCTCACTAGTGTAAGACCTGAAACAGTGAATAAAAACTAGAAGGTATGATAGATATTGTGAAACGAAAGGAAAATGCTCAAAACTAAAGGGCAACTGGGGTGTGGGAAAAGAGAAGGGAAAGAAGGGGAAATTATGTATGTATTAACAGGATAGCTAACATAGCTGTACTAGTGTCTTCTATTGCTCTACAGAAAGGAACAGTTAATGATTACTTGTTTGATCAATCTTATATGCCTCTGTTTTCCTGAGAAACCACTTTGAAGATATCTATAAGTAATACAACAACTATTGTTAATTTCCTACAACTTTATCTGTAACTCCGTTTTGTTTGTATTGTTCTTATGCTATTTTGTAAGTGGATGTCTGTTTCTTAATGTGTTTTCCTTCTTTTATTTCTTAAAATAAAAAGATGTTCTAGATGTGCTACATATATGAATCAATTCTCCATGATAAATGTAATTATTATATATGACAAACATATGCTCAATTAAAAACAAAAAACAGTACAGAATGTCTTGTATTTTGAAAAAGCTTTCTAAAGTAGAGTACTTTCTTATAGCACATGTAGAATTTTGTAAGAAAGTACCTAGAAGAAAGTGCAAATCATGCAAAGGAAGGGAAACTGCATACCTTCCAGGGAGAAATCACTAATGCTTCCCCACTCCTCACGGGCTGCTTTTGAACTTGTTGCAGGAGCATCTCGTGGAGGGCGTGGGCCACCGCATACACAGCATTGTATATGTTGTAACTCGCATCACTCATGGCCGTGTCAAAACGATTCACCGGTAACCATGCCAGAGAGGCATTGGGTATACAGTTCTCCAGTACACAGCCAGAATCAGACAGTGAGCAGTGGAAGTGCCAGTACCAAAGCTGCTGTAAGAAAATGTCTTCTGGGTAACTGGAAGGATTCACTGTCTGGATAAACTTTTTAAAACCAGAAATCTCCTTATGTTGACTTGAAAAAATGAGAGTCCCGTGGAACGAGTCAAGAATGAAATTTTTCCCAGTCAGGTCAGCGTGCCACTGTGAGTTTGTCACCCAGACTCTCCATGTCACTATGTGGAGCCCTATGTTATAGTTTACATCATTTATGCTCTCAGGATCGTAGTAAATGATAACTACATACACAGGAGGAGTTTCCCGGGTGATGAAATCGTGCTGTTGTTGTTGAAAGTAGTATGACACAGTCACACTTGTGATGATTTTCACAAATGCCACACAGACTCTGCTTCTGCCCATCTCTGCTCTCACATCTGAGAGAAACTGCAGCCCTTTTGCACCTTCTGTGATGACCAGTCCCACCCAGGTCCAGCGGAAATGGAGCATCAAGGAGACCATGCCGAGGGCCAGGGATGTGTCCTTTGGGGCCATTTGATAGAGGGAAGGAAATTGGTCATCATCACTCAGGATCGGATCAAAAGAGCCAAAGGTCAGCTGAAAAGAAAATCGGAAGTGATGTAAAGGCAATCCTAATCATGAGGAGTGTTACCAAGAAGGTACATGTTCTTCCCGTCTAAAGTCATTGCACTTACTGCAGGTTTATTCTTTAAAATTATTGATCAGATTCTGAGTTTCAGGAAACATTTTGCTTTGCCCTCTCCCACTTCGCTGCTGATACACAGAAAGTTTGGGCAATCCTTCAATTTCTTTGTACATACACATTGGGATTTTATGCGTTAAGTGACACACAAACCTAGGAACCTGAGATAAGTAAGAGAGGAGATACGACTTCACCTCACCCAGCCCCTGCCCTCACCTGTGGAAACTTGTAGAGCTCCAGCAGTGGTCCAGTTTGAGCAGCTGTTATAGCTGATGTCCCCGTTAATAGTGCTATAGACTTGTTTCCTTGCCTACAAATGTAGTTTGGGATCTCATCCTGTCCTGTGTGCAAAATGAGGATATTCTTCAATATATTCCCATGACTGTGCAAGGAATTATGGGACTCATAGCCCAGAGATATGTTGGGTAAAAGATGAGGATTTCTGTTGATCTCTTCAATGGCAAAAATGAAGGCAAGAACATTTTGGTAGTTTTGGGACATAAGCCTGTATAGAGACCACAGAGATCTTTACTGAAAATCTTGAGTGTCCTTACGTCCAGTACAATATCATGAACTGAAAGCTTGTGCTCCTACTCCAAATTCATATGCTAAAACATTGAAGCTGAACACGATGGCATTAGAAGGTAGATCTGTGGATTTTAGGCAGGTTTTGCTGAGACCACAATGGTGAATGTCTCATGAATGAGATTAGTGTCCTTACAAGACACCAGAAAGAGCATCATCCCTCTTTCATGTGAGGCCACCCTGACATGCCTGCCACTCCTAAACTAGGAAGTACTTATTCTCTTAATCTCAGCTTTACATCTATTAAAATGTAAAGATCTTTTTACTCTGCTGGTGATTTCTTTAGAAGTGAAGAAACAAAACCCACAAACTTGGAAAAAATTCTAGCTGACTGTCCCTCAGACAAAGGGCTTCTATCTAGAACATACAAAGAATTAAAATATGTCAGCTCCCCCCAAATTCAAAGACCTACCCAAAAATGGGAAGTTGAGATGAATACACACTTCTCAGATAATGAAATACAAATTGCAAATAAGGGGCTGGGGATTTAGCTCAGCGGCAAAGCGCTTGCCTGGGAAGTGCAAGGTCGTGAGTTCGGTTCCCGGTACCGGAGAAAAACAAAACAAAACAAAACAAAAAAAAAAACAAATTGCAAATAAATACATGAGAAAATATTCAACATCTTTAGTCATTCAAGAAATGTAAATTAAAACAACACTGAGATTCCACCTTACCCCAGTAAGAATGGCTAGCATTAAGAAATCAACCAATAACAAATGCTG